CGCCGTATCCGCCTCCGTATCCTCCTAGACTACCGCCGTATCCGCCTCCGTATCCTCCTAGACTACCGCCGTATCCGCCTCCGTATCCTCCTAGACGACCGCCGCCTCCGCCTCCGTATCCACCATAGCTCTGACCGCTATAGTTAGATGCCGCAGCAAATGCTACACACTGCAACACAAGAGCCACAATATTATTGTGTGTAATGGTATCATTAACGATAAATAATATTGCACATATAAGAAATACTACTATGAATATTCCTCCGATTAAAACTTTATGCTATACATTTTCAGGATGAATATAATTTGACAAGTTGTTCCACGACTATTTTTAAACTAAATAAAACAAAGGCTATTGTCTTTACTCACAGCAAGGAGAATGAGAACCTTCATCTTTTCTTCTAGAAAATGTAAATGACAAAAATGATTAGGCGTTTTAGTTACATACATATAGCAACAGCAGTCTATCAATATTGATAGACTCCTGATAGCAATAGAATACATCGTACACATACACCATTTGTAAACGAACGGTGATCACCACTAAATATTCAAATATTTACCTTACAAATAGCTATCACACAATGACAAGAGTGCGATTAAGCAGTTTTACCTTCTACCACAGCGTATGCTTAGCAGTAGAGAAATTTCAGCTACCAGTGAAAACTTTATGTGCCGCGTAACCAGTGAATAATTTAAACCGTAAAGAATAAACGTTTTTCGCCGTATAATTATACTCAAACATACTTACACGATCGGAGGCGTTGTACCGCTGATGTGGTTGGAGAAGACTTGTTGGTCGGTGTGCGATGTGATGTCGCAGACGACGCTCTTTTAAACGGTTTCTTCCGTCACTCGACCGACTTTCGCCGTTTGTTGTTTTCACCCCCACCGTCGCCTCACCACATTTGTCACGTCTAATATGTTTACGTCGCTCGCGTAATCACCTGCCGTTACCGTATCCGTGCCTTCTCACACAGAGCTCTCTGCTCGTGGAGGTGTGTGAGTTGTTGACCTGCCTAATGAAGACGAAAGTGATCTATGGATCCGGCGCTATTAACCGGACCAGGCTAATCGAAGACAATGGTAACGATATAGGTCACTTAAAATTTGCGATTCCTATATAGTTAACCTATTTGGAGCCTCGCGATGCCAAATTTGTTGTCCTTCTTAACTTTAATGATAAATTGTCATGCGCACTGCATAAAAATCCCGCAGTGCTATTCCAATGCTATAAAAGTTTGTTTTTGGCGTCTTGATTGTATGTGTGTTAATTCAAAGTATGTCAATAGCAAATCATTTGCTCTTCAAGCGTTTGAGTCGTAGCAATATTGAGTATACGCGAGTGATACTGGAATAATTCCAGATATTTAAGGATTGCTGAAATAGTTTATCTATAGAACCTCCGCATGTTAATCATTTATATCTCGGATACAAATATGTGATCGTGGTCAAATATCAACATGCACATTTTTATAATAACAGAACGCTTATATATAACTGGCAGATCGGCGTTCTAAGTGAAACAATCGTTCGCCGGCGTGCGTGGTTGACGCTGTTTGTCGCGTACACATACGATTGTCACTGTGCCTAGCAACAAGCAGCCTAGATTCGCGACAAGCGGTATACAGCCCGCAGCAGTTCTCTTCTCTTTATCAATGACTTAGAACACCGATTGATCGTACGAACACGTTCATGAGGCGCTCGCGTCGTTACGATAGTGGGTTAATAGACAATTATATGATCGCCCTGTCGCGCACGCTGAACGTGGTGTAAGATGGTCGATGCAGCACAGAGTCGTGAGGTCGTCGGGCACAGATGATGATTTAACACCGCGCACGGGCCACGGTAGATGATTAACGTGAGGCTGTGCATCATGGCGACTGCGACGTCGGCGTCCGTATTAAGTAGTAGCAACGCGGGTCGATGCGGGTGGTGAGCTCCTAACCTAACCTAACCTAACCCCACCCAAACCCCATTGCTCAGAAAGTTGGCAGCGCGCTGAAGCGTTGGTACCGCGCCCAGCGGCTAATAAATGCACGCACGCACGCACGCACGCATGGACGCACGCCCACGCGTACGCAAGCACGTATGCACGAACCTACGCGCGTAGTTGGTACCGCGCCCAGCGGCTAATAAAATAAAAGACACATGCACGCACGCACGCACGCATGCACCCACGTACGCACGAAGTTACGCTCGCATGCACGCACATACGCTAAATGTTACGCACGCATGCACGCCACGTATGCTGGGCGAACATAGTGGTTATAAACGGATGTCAAAGCATCAAGATGAGATACTTTTAAGGTGGATAATTCTGAATACGCAGGAAGTATTTTCTATTTGCTGCCACCGCCATCGCCACCGCCTGTTCCACTCTCTACAAAAACTATGCCCTGACATTCTGGCAGTACCTATACCACACGCGTACCGACATTAATTATATGCTCATTACACCAATGCCCCGTTTTATTGACCTTCACAAATTAATAGCTGTGACAAGAGGAGGTGTCACAGTTTGTTTCATTAGTCCTCATTCCACACGTGTACGTTTTGCTAGGCGGACTAATGAACTAACACCAGACGTAGGAGACATTATATGACAGAGAAATTACATTATTATGACACGTACGACACTATCTAGGACACCATTTCGTCCTTTATTCATAGATTCCCTAACACTAAATATATAGATAACTTATAAACTATATATATACTATATATAAACTTGCTACTATAATATATGCTAATATACTATATATAAACTACTATATATAAACTTATAGATTCCCTAACACTAAATATGCCCGTAGACAGTGGCGTAGTTAAGCCATGCCCTGCCCCCCCCCCTGTTGATCCAAAAGTTTTAAAAAAAAAGTTCTACTAAAAAGAGAATCGCCGTAGTCAGAATGAAGGCTGTACATGTACTCAAAAGTGCCTCAAATACCATCTCCTGCGATCTACATTTTCAAAATTTTATGGGGGAGGTAACCCATATCCCCGCCTGTTTTTCACCCGCCTCCTTGGAATCCTGGATCCGCTACTGAACAGTTACAAATCTTGGGAGCAGAGAACAACGAACAAAAATATCGCCTTTTTGCACGGCGCCCAAAACAAAGATTGCAGAGCTGTAAGGTGGGGGAGCATAGGGTTTGGAGAGGGAGGCGGAGGAACCATTAAAATATTAAGTCATCCACTATTTTGCGCAGTTCGCTGTTTCTGCTTCCCCTGTTAAAAAATCCTGACTACGCCACTGCCCGTCTAGGCTTTTGATGCATTTCAGATAGAGAGTGTGTGTATGTTTGCTGGTCTGTATAATATATGCGTGCTGCTTTTCTCAAGAAATGCAACCTAAATGTGTAAAATACTCTATTTGTAACTTTTATACACTTTTTCGAATGTCATATGATGTATAAGGTGCGGGGTGAAAACAATGTGGACACTGAAATGAAAATAATGGGACCATGCTAATGAATTACACAATTAATAACAATTGCAACATTATGATACAGCCAACAGATAATCTTATAGTACTTTCATATTTCATTTAATTATTAAAATAGATACTAAAAGAACGTATATAGACCCACACAAATATAGCACATACATATACTGCATATATTGGCATATAGGTCAGTGCGACCATCAGTTGTAATATAACTACCTGGGCAATGTTCTCTGCTGCAATTTCAAAGGGTAATAACACGCACATGAGCTCTTTAATTTATACGCAATCAATCTGTATAGTTAATTGGTAGTTATCAGCGGCACTCTACCCTTCTCTGTCGTGCCTGCACGTACATGAATGCGAAATGTAGTTCAAGGATAGACATCACAGCTTTCATAATGACGCTGACACTCTAGAAAGTGTTACTGCGCAGCGCATAACAATCACATGGACTTGTCACCATTTGTCACGTGTCACACGACTGCAACAATGGCGGATGGCTATTTGGTTAGCTTCTGTTGATTAGGCTACTGGTCAGTCATGTAATTAGTGTGTTCGGGGGTACGGAACATGCCACTGTCTATCGTTTGCTTGTAACGTGTGCGTCTGTATTGTACAAATTTATCAGTATTGTATATTGAGTATAGTATCATGTATTTAGTTTATATTTTATGATAGGTTTTATGCGTATTACATCTGTTATTATATATATATACGCTTTATTTCATCCGCCTGTTTTCCGTTATTAGTAGGAATTATATTTTCGTTTACAGACTATGAGAATGAACGTGGCACTAGGAGTAATGGTGGTCGTGGCCGTCGCTGGCCTGGCGCACGGTGACGGCTATGTCACACAGGCTCCTAGCTACTTCACTACTCAGGTATATGGACCCGTATCGTCCGGCGCGTTGAGAGGATCAGGAAACCGCGCGGCGTCGCTGAGCTTCAACAGAGCAGGAACAGCTTCCGGTACTGCCTACAGCCAGGATCAGGCTACAGCCGACCAGACGGCAGCGAAGAACCGCGCTTACGAGTACAACTACAAGTACGTGTCACGTCTCCATCTTATACTGACTTTATTATCTGTTTTTTCTCCATTAATATAAACACGACGATTTTGGCGGTTACGCTACTGCGATGTTACGTTTCATTTAGTAATTATTATGAAAGGTGTTGTGGTGGAAGACTAACTAGTTACCAGTCAGAGTGACAGAGAAAGAGAAAGAGAGAGAGAGAGAGAGAGAGAGAGAAGAGAGAGAGAGAGACAGACACTGGTGGATCCAGCAGCTTGGAGGAAACGGCAGCCCTAAGGTGGATGACGGGCAACACTGGTGGATCCAGCAGGCTTGGAGGATACGGCAGCCTAGGTGGATACGGCAACACTGGTGGATCCAGCAGGCTTGGAGGATACGGCAACACTGGTGGATCCAGCAGGCTTGGAGGATACGGCAAACAACTGTGGATCGCAGCAGGCTTGGAGAATACGGCAGGCTAGGTTGATACGGCAACACTGGTGGATAAGCCCAGCAGGGCTTGGAGAATACGAGGCAGGTAGGTGGATACGGCAACACTGGTGAATCCAGCAGGCTTAGAGGATACGGCAGGCTTGGAGGATACGGTAGAAAAACGGACGGCAGGCTAGCGGCATACGGCAACACTGGTGGATCCAGCAGGCTTGGAGGATACGGCAGGCTAGGTGGATACGGCAACACTGGTGGATCCAGCAGGCTTGGAGGATACGGCAGGCTAGGTGGATACGGCAACACTGGTGGGCATCCAGCAGGCTTGGAGGATATCGGCCATGGCTGGGGGAAATACCGACTCATACGGCAGACATAGTTGATACGGCAACAACCTGGTGAAAAATACGGCAGGCTTGGTGGAAATACCGACTCAATAACCAGGCAACACTGGTGGATACAGGCAACACTGGTGGATCCGGCAGGCTTGGAGGATACAGCAACAACTGGTGGATCGGCAGGCTTGGTGGAGCGATAGGACGGCACGGCTTGGTGGAGTACGGCGGTGGAACCGCTGCGTCTAAAGAGGATACCGGCGTGGTTACGGCGGTGGATACCGTCGCACGTATGGCAGCACAGACTATGTGCGTTATGTTTAATAGCTAGTTGACAATAACGGCAAAAGCGTGCTTCACGTTTATTTATGTAGATTAGTTGTTAAAAAAAATTCGGTGTTAATTTAAGTAAATGTAATTAATGCACGTACGGCAAAAACAATTTGTGATGTTTTTAAAGATTTCTTTAAATGCTTGTTGTAATTAAATTTGTTCGGGAAAAAATCTCTCTTATCTCTGATTATTGTTAATACAACAACACACACGAATAATACAAATATCGAAAATATTTGAAAATAATACCCAATTTATTCCTAATTTAAATGAGTAGTAATAATGCTACATACAAACGTATATTGGATAAACAACTGTGTCATTAAAAAGGCCATCGAATTGCACACAAACGAATATCATACATTCTAGTAATCACAATAATATCAATACTTATTACCGGCAGATTGCATTTCAGTAAAACTCAATCAACATTGGTTTGCTGGTCGCAATCTAATGTTCCTAATAGTAGGCCTACACACAGCGCCGTTGTGGTTGCTGCGGTTGCTGCTGCTGTTGGTGGTTGTACTCGTAAGCGCGCTTCTTCGCTGCCGTCTGGTCGGCTGTAGCCTGATCCTGGCTGAGGCAGTAAAACCGCGGAAGCTGTTCGCTGCTGCTGTTGAAGCTCAGCGACGCCGGCGGGTTTCCTGATCCTCTCAAACGCGACGGACAATACGGGTCTCATATACTGATAGTGAAGTACTAGGAGCCTGTGTGAACATAAGGGCCGTCACCGTGCGCCAAGGCACGACGGCCCCGACCACATTACTCCTTAGGTGCCACGTTCCATTCTCATAAGTCTGTAACGAAAAATAATTCCTACTAATAAAGGGAAAAAAAGCGGATAGAAAATCAAGCGTATATATAGTATATAAAGAGATAGGTTTTATCGTATTACTCTGTCATTTATAACAGCATGTAATACGCATAAAACCTATCATAAAATTATAAACTAAATTACATGATACTATACCAATATACAATACTGACTAAATTTGTACAATACAGACGCACACGTTACAAGCATAACGATAGACCAGTGGCATGTTCCGCTACGCCCCGAACACAACCTAAGTTACACTGACTGACCAGTAGCCCTAATCACAGAAGCTAACCAAATAGCCATCCGCACATTGTTGCAGTCGTGTGAACGTGACAAATGTGACAAGTCCATGTTGATTGTTAATGCGACTGCGGCAGTTAACACTTTCAGAGTGTCAGCGTCATATGAAAGCTGTGATGTCTATCCTTCGAACTACATTTCGCATATCATTAGTACGTGGCAGGCACGACAGAGATAAAAAAAAGGGGGGGTAGAGTGGCCGCTGATAACTACCAATTTGAAACTATACAGATTGATTGCGTATAAAATAAAAGAGCGCATGTGCGTGTTATTATAGCCCTTTGAAATTGGCAGCAGAGAACATTGCCCAGGTAGTTATATTATCAACTGATTGGTCGCACTGACGCTATAGCCAATAAAATCATGTTATGTTAGTCTATATTTGTGTGGGTTCCATTATACGTCTTTTAGTATCTATTTTAACATTAATGGAAATGAAAGTACTATAAGATTATCTGTTGCTGTATCATAAAATGTTTGCAATGTTATTAATTGTGTAATTCATCTAGCATGGTCCCATTATTTTCCAATTTCAAGTGTCCACAATTGTTTTCACACAGCCAGTAAGCCCGCCACCTTATACATCATATGACATCCAAAGTGTATAAAAGTACAAATAGAGTATTTACACATTTAGGTTGCATTTCTGAAGAAAAGCAGCACGCATATATATACAGACCAGCAAACATAACACACACTCTCTATCTGAAATCATCAAAAGCCTAGACGGGCAGTGGCGTAGTGCAGGAATTTTAAACGAGGGAAGCAGAAACAGCGAACTGCGCAAATAGTGGATGACTTAATATTTTAATGGTTCCCCGCCCCCTCGTCCAAACCCTATGCTCCCGCACCTTACAGCTCTGGCAATCTTGTTTTGGGCGGCCGTGCAAAAAAGCGATATTTTTGTTCGTTGTTCTCATGCTCCAAGATTTGCTAACTGGTCAGTAGGCGGATCCAGATTCCAAGGAGGCGGGTGAAAACAGGCGGGGATATGGGTACCTCCCCATAAAATTTTGAAAATGTAAGATCGGGCAGGAGATGGATTGAGGGCAGTTTTGAGTACATGTACAGCCTTCATTCTGACTACGGCCGGAATTCTGCTTTTTAGTAGAAGCTTTTTTTTTTAAAAAACCTTTTGGATCAAACAGGGGGGGGGGCAGGGCATGGCTTAACTACGCCCACTGTCTACGGGCATATCTAGTGTTAGGGAAAATCTGATAAGTTTATATATATCAGTTTATATATAGTATATTAGCATATAATTATAGTAGCAAGTTATATATAGTATATATATAGTTTATAGTGATCTATATATTTAGTGTTAGGGAATCTAATGAAATAAAGGACGAAATCGTGTCCTAGATAGTGTCGTACGTGTCATAATAAGTAGATTTCTGCTGTCATATCAATGTCTCCTACGTCTGGGTGTAGTTCCATTAGTCAGCCTAGCAAAACCCGTACACGTGTGAATGAGGACTAATGAAACAAAACTGTGACACCTCCTCTTTGTCACGCTTATTAATTTGTGACAGGTCAATAAAACGGGGCATTGGTGTAATGAGGCATAATAATTAATGTCGGTAACGCGTGTGGTATAGGTAGCTGCCAGAAGTCAGGGCATAGTTTTTGTAGAGAGTGAACGGCGGTGGCGATGGCGTGGCAGCAAAATAGAAATACTCCTGCGTATTTCAGAATTATCCAACCTTAAAAGTATCTCAATCTTGATTGCTTTGACATCCCGTTTATAAACCACTAGTTCGCCAGCATACGTCGTGCCAGCGTGCGTAACATTTAGCGTAATGTGCGTGGCATCGAGCGTAACTTCGTGGCGTACGTGGAGTGCATGCGTGCGTGGCGTGCGTGCATGTGTCTTTTATTTTATTAGCCGCTGGCGAGCGCTACAACTACCGCGTAAGGTTCGTGCATACTGCTTGCGTACGCGTGGGCCTGCGTCCATGCGTGCGTGCGTCGTGCGTGCATTTATTAGCCGCTGGGCGCGGTACCGACGCTTCGCGCGCTGGCCAACTTTCTGAGCAATGGGTTTGGGTGGGGTTAGGTTAGGTTTAGGTTAAGGAGCTCACCACCCCGCATCGACCCGCGTTGCTAACTACTTAATACGGACGCCGACGTCGCAAGTCGCCATGATGCACAGCCTCACGTTAAATCATCTACCGCGGCCCGTGCGCGGTGTTAAATCATCATCTGTGCCCGACACCTACCGAACTCTGTGCTGCAACTCGACCATCTTACACCACGTTCAGCGTGCGCGACAGGGCGATCATATAATTTTCTTATTTAACCCATCTATCGTAACGAACGACGACGCGCAACATCAATAGAACGTGTTCGGTCGTACGAATCAATCGTGTTCTAAGTCCATTGATAAAGAGAGAAGAACTGTGCTGCTGTATAACCGCTTGTCGCGAAATTCTAGGCGATGACCTTGTTGCTCTTTAAGGATCACCAGTGAAACAATTATCGGAATTCCAACGAAATTATATGAATGCTACACGCATGTTTATAAATAACAGAAGTCCCTCGGACTTAATCAAAATCAATAACCGTCAACTGCAGATCACAGCACATGGCACGGCGATACGATATTGTTTCACTGAACAGAACGTTATATATAACTAGAAGTGGCGAGATCAGCCGATCATGCTATTATATGAGAATACAAAGGTCGTTCTGCGCTACGCAGAGAGACAGTGAGTGTGATCGGCATGTTGACTGAGTTGCGCCCGGATACACATGACGATTCAACTGTCACAGATCACCATATATATCCACGAGATAAATCAGACTAAACATTGCGGACCGGTTCCTAATAGATAAACTAATTCAGCAAATCCTTAAATATCCGGAACTATCATCTCAGTATCACTTACCGCGTATACTCATATTGCTACAGACGTCACAACTGCAATTGAACGGATCCGCGAAATCAGACCGATTTGGAGCTATGCGTGCACCCGTCGTTAAATAGGGTCGTGGTTGATATAATATAGGAACACACAATAAACAATCAAGACAGCCAAAAACAAACTTTTAGGTAGCATGGGACATAGCACTGCGGGACTTATCTTATGCAGTGAGAGCGCATAGATGCCAATGGTTAATATCATCTAAGGATGTTAAGACAACGGCAGACAAAGTGGTGGCACATCGACGAAGGCTACACAATTGAGGATTAACATATATGACATCCGCAGGACTTTCACACAGTGAGCGCGTACCAAAACGCGGGTTAAGGCCGGAATAACGTGGAGGCTGATTGAACTTTTCGAAAGGCACCGCGACGTGGTTCTTCGTGCCGGGTCTTATAGGTCAAGCCGACACATAGTAGAGATCACTTTACGTCTTGCATTAGGCCAGGTCAACAGACGTCAACACATTCCTCCACGAGTCAGAGAGCTACTGTGTGAGAAGGACCAACGGACTACGGTAAGCCGGTCATGGATGAGATCTCACGTGAACGAGCCCGACGCTAACCAAACATAATACTCCCGAACGTGAACAAAAATGAATGAGCGACGGTGAGCGGGTGCCCGAAAACGAGACAAACGGAAGACGTCGTTCGTCTGAAGTGACGGAAGAGACATCACGCCAATAGCACGCCCACCACGCGAGTCTTTTAGAAAACACCACGCGAACCGCGTACTCGAACACGACGCAATGGCACGAAAACACGCGCGTAAGGTTTGGTTACGGCGCCAGCGGCTAATAAAAATATCAAAGACACCACTATCCACGCATGCGCCAAACCAACCCCACGACACCAACCGTAAACCACGAAAAGGTCTTACGCCTCGCATTCAACGCACAACGCTAACAACGTTCATCAATCAGCGGGTACCGACCGACAAGGCCCAATCCCGAGCGAATCGGTAAGTTATAAGTGTCTGAGGAGGTCAGTAACAAATAGGGAACGGATCAAAAGCTATCAAAAAAGAATTATCAGCGGCGAAAAACGTTAATCTTGAGCGGTTGTGAAATATTAATCACTGTTACGCGCAACATAAAGTTTCTAACTTCGGTAGGCTGAGAATTCTCTACTGCTAGCCAATACACCTTGTGGATAGAAGTTAAAACAAAGTCTTTAATTCGCTATCACTCTTGTCCATTTGTACGTGATACGCGTATTTGTAATGGAGAATATTTGCAATATAAATTACGTGGCTGCTCACCAAGTTCGTGGCTTATGAAGGTAAATGGCCTCGATCTACCTCGTGACCAAAACTAGTGCCCATTGGACTAAATTTCTTACCTTGCTGCAATAATCCAGCGACTCTATTCACATCCTTCGCATAGACGCACTGCCTCGATTTTAAATGGCTATAAATGTTATTAACCTACGCCCTTATCATTTGTCATTTACATTTATCTAGGAAAAAGATGAACGGTTTCTCATTACTCACCTTTTGCTGTATGACAGTAAAGACATTGAGCCTTTGTTTATATTAGTTGATAATCATAGCGCACGTGGACATACTTGTCAATTATAATCCATCATGAAATCTATGCATCCCAAGCATTGTAATAGAGAGAGCATATTCCACTACCACTTCTTTATTGTGCACATAACTATTATAATCAGACTCAATCAAACACCATTACACACAAATACATCATTGTGCGACCATTGGTGTGCCGCCAAGAGTGCTGTCACGCATTGCTTGAGCGCACAATCTACAATCCACTAGACGGTACAGAGAGCCGGAATATGTTAATGAGACAAAAATTAAATTCATAACGGAAGGCGTAAGAAAGACCGGCGTCACCGTAAGTCGATTCTAATGAGAGGGCCTAATAACTACGTAAGAGTAAGAGCAGTCCGTATAATTTACTCAACGAGTCGCGGAGGCCACCACTAGTACCGCACCAATAGGGCTTAGGCATACGGAGGCGGAGGCGGCGGTCGTCGGAGGAGGATAACGGAGCGCGGAATACGGCTGTAGTCCACCTCCTACCGAGGACCACATGCGCACACACTGTATTCGCCTCCGACCGGGAACCTACCCGCGGCCTAACTAAGCTCCACTATGGGATAGATAACGGAGGCCGAAAAGATTTCACTGCGCAGCCTCGACTCGCGTCAGGTAAGGCATTACCACGGAAGAGCGGATACGGCGGTACATTCCACGCGCAGCCGATATCGGAGGGATATCGGCAGCTCAGTCTAGGAGGATACGAGAGCGATACCTGAGTCGCTGAGCCTAGGAGAATCGAGCCGGACTATCGGCACGGCTTCACCGTCTACGCATGGACTCACGGGCAGGCGTCCACGCCGCAGGGGTCGGTAATCGGCACGCCGAATAGGAGCGCCGATCACCCGACGGTCACCCTCGCAGAGGCACATAAGAACGCCGGACATACACGCCGGTATCGTCCTATAACAGGCACGGGATACGGGGCGGATCCACGGGCGGTCGTCCCTAGAGCAGGACTACGGCAAGCCGCGGGCATACCCGGGCGGTATGGTCTCCCCCCGGTAGGAGTACGAGGCGCATCAATGGCAGGGTCTCGGACGAATAGGAGCGGATATACGGCGAGGAGTGGCTCACCGCACAGGAGGTAACCGGCGCGGATACGGCAGGGTCGTCCGGCCAGGAACTAGGCCGGCGGATACGGTGGTCGTCTAGGAGGAATACCGCAGCGATAGCGCAAGTGGTCATAGGCGGAAACGAGGCGGATACGGGTGGTGGCTATCCGCAATTATCCAGCTAATCGAACTTTCGTTAATCAAAAGCTCCAACTGACACACTAAACAGGTTCCATTGGCAATCGAAACTAAATTACCAGACCTAAAATTAATTAACTTAACTGGCTTAAATAAAGAGTTAATCGTCATCATTGAGGCTTAAAGTGTACTTTGTTGTTAACGATTGAACAAACTTCGCTTATATTGCGACTCAATTATATTGTATGTAGAATAAATCGTTGGTTCTGATACCATTCTAACTCCTTAATCAAATTCTTTCCATCGACGCCAATGATTCAATCACACGTAAACCAAGCAGAAACACGCACACATGCAAGAATTGCAAATTATAAGATTAATATTCACAAAATTCTATTCACTCGTGATCTATACCAACAACACATACAACCGATTAATATGGATGAAATTGTCAGAGCGTAAGCAAATGTGTATTTATACTAAGGACCACGTATTATTACAAATGAATAAATTAGTATACAATGACTACCGGCATCACTAATATATCGATACCCGGTGTCACAACAAATATACCTTTCAGTTAAAAACTCAATCCTCTACACATTGTTGCCTGGTTAGACAATCTGAATAGATAATCTATAGCGCAACAGCACATGCGCGTTGTGAGTTGCTGCGGCCTTGCTGCGTTTGACTGCTGCTTGAGCTGGTTTCCAATACACCACCATCACTGGCTGTGGCGCCCATGTGGGTGATATGTGCCACGACGTTTGGTCCGTAGGCTCTCACCCGAGTGGATGACATCGGACGTTATCACTGAGGACCACAATTGATGTCTTCATTATCTGTCAGTAGTTGACGAGTTGTATAATTGCCTGCGCCAGTATATTAGTATCGCTGCCCTGACACACACGCGAAGGTAATGAGTAAGTTTAGATATAATATAGTCGGATATTATGGTTTGTCCATTACCCGTAATTCGTCTTGTACGAGTCCTACTCCAAAATACATCTTAAAATATACATTATAAATATCGCTTACTTCACTTACCCTCTCTACTCTCAAAATACATCTAATCGATTCATTACTCACACAATCTCTCTCCCAATTCCACACTCTTCTATCCCTCCTCTCCTCACTCTTACTTACTCTCCATCTCATCTCATTTCTCTTTCATCTGATCAACTCTGAGTGGTAACTAAGTTGAGTCCTTCCACGGCACAACACCTTTCATAACTTAATTACTAAATGAAACGTACATTTGCGAGGCAGTAGTCGTCACCGGCCAAAAATCGTCCACGTGTTTCAATTAATCGCTGAGTAATAAAACAGTACAAGAAAGTCAGTATACAGATCCGGAGACGTGACACCGTACTTGTATATGTTAGTACTCATGATAAGGTCGCGGTCTATCCGCTGCCGAGTACTGGTCGCTGAAACTATATTCTCTTCTGGGGGTTATGTACAAGGTACACTGCCGAGGATGAGAATGCGTAAGCTGTCCTAAACTTAGGAGTGCTAACTGGGTGGTTGCAAGTGCGCCGTACACGCGAGGCGCGCCTAGCGTGACGGCTTGCCCCGCAGCGATGTCCTGATCCGCTCATACGCAGCCGGACGATACGGGCCATAATACCTGAGTAGTGAAGTAGCTAGGAGCCTGCTGTTGACATAGCCGTCACCCGGTGCGCCAGGCCAGCGGACGGCCACGGACCACGCATTACTCCTTGCCACGTTCATTCTCATATAGTCCTGTAAACGAAATTAATCCTACGATACGGAAAACCATGGCGGATGAAATAAAGCGTATATATAGTATAATATAATAATATATATATATATAATATATATAATATAATATATTGTAGATAGATTAAACACACGACATCGACTTTTTGCTGTTACTCAAGAGTTTCGACGCTTTGCGCGATCATCAGACAACCTTTAATGAATAATATTCATTAAAGTTGTTCTGATGATCGCGCAGGGCGTGAACTCTGAGTACACACAAAAAGTGATGTCTTGTGTTAATCTATCTATACAATATATTACGCTCTGGCAATTAAATGCATGAGACTCTACAGGCAGTGTAGACCCAAAGCAATACAGATGTATATATATATATATATATATATATCGTACGCAGAATAAAAAAACGACACACGTAAAATATGTCCATCTGCATATAATATAATATATAATATATATATAGTATATATATATATATAGTAGTAACAGATGTAATACGCATAAAACCTGTATTAATACGCATCTAAATACATGATACTACACAATATACAATTAATGATGCATTTGATACAGTACATGG